AGATTGCAACCAACATTCGGAAGGTAGCCTCAGAGGTGTGTGGAGTAACCAAAGGAAGGGGACGCGAGGATAAAGATACTTGGTGGTGGAACGAGGAAGTCCAAAGGGCTATTAAGGAGAAGAAAGAATGCTATAGACGCTTGTACCATGACAGGAGTGTGGACAACATAGAGAAGTATAAGGTGGCAAAGAAGACTGCAAAGCGAGTTGTAAGTGTGGCAAAGGGTAGAGCGTACGAGGATCTTTACCAACATTTGAGTACGAAGGAAGGAGAGAAGGACATTTATAGGATGGCTAGGGTTCGTGAGAGAAAGACACGGGACTTCAACCAAGTTAAGTGCATTAAGGATGAAAGGGAGCATCTCTTGGTAAAGGAGGATGAGATCCGACATCGATGGCAAGAGTATTTTTGACAAATTGTTCAATGGTGAGAATATGGACACAACCTTTCAGTTAGATGACTCTTTTGATGACACCAATAGGCGCTTTGTGCGAAGAATCCAAGAATCTGAGGTCAGAGAGGCGTTGAAAAGGATCAAAGGAGGTAAGGCGATGGGACCGGATGGTATCACAATCGAGGTGTGGAGATGCCTCGGGGACATAGCTGTAGTATGGTTAACTAAGCTGTTCAACCATATTTTTCGATCGAACAAGATGCCTGATGAGTGGAGGAGAAGTATATTGGTACCGATCTACAAGAATAAAGGGGATATTCAAAGTTGTACAAATTACCGGGGAATTAAGTTGATGAGCCATACTATGAAGCTATGGGAGAGAGTTATCGAGCATCGCTTGAGAGCAATAACGCGGGTCTCTATGAACCAATTTGGTTTCATGCCCGGAAGGTCAACCATGGAAGCCATTTTCTTAATAAGACAAGTTATGGAGCGGTATAGGGAGAAGAAGAAGGACCTACACATGGTTTTTATTGACTTGGAGAAGGCTTATGATAAAATACCAAGGAATGTTATGTGGTGGGCTTTGGACAAACATAAAGTCCCAACGAAGTACGTTGGGCTCATTAAGGACATGTACAATAATGTTGTGACTAGAGTTTGAACAAGTGATGGAGACACGGATGACTTCCCGATTAGGATAGGACTACATCAAGGGTCAGCTTTGAGCCCTTATTTGTTTGCTTTAGTGATGGATGAGGTCACAAGGGACATACAAGGGGACATCCCTTGGTGTATGCTTTTCGCGGACGATGTAGTGCTAGTTGATGAAAGCCGAACAGGAGTGAATCAGAAACTGGAGTTATGGCGGGAGACTTTGGAGTCCAAAGATTTTAGACTTAGTAGAACTAAAACTGAGTATATGAGATGTGACTTCGGCACTACTACTCGGGAGGAGGAAGATGTTAGTTTGGAAGGTCAAGTAGTGCCTAGGAAGGATACCTTTCGATATTTAGGATCAATGCTACAGAGGGACGGGGATATTGATGAAGATGTTAGCCATAGAATCAAAGCAGGGTGGATGAAGTGGCGGCAAGCGTCTGGTGTCCTATGTGACAAAAGGGTACCACAGAAGCTAAAAGGCAAGTTTTATAGGACGGCGATTAGACCTGCTATGTTGTATGGTGCAGAATGTTGGCCTACGAAAAGACGACATATTCAACAGCTAAGTGTCGTGGAAATGCGTATGTTGCGTTGGATTTGCGGTCATACAAGAAGGGATCGAGTTCGGAACGATGATATACGTGAGAGATTAGGGGTAGCGCCAATTGAAGAAAAGCTTGTCCAACACCGGTTGAGATGGTTTGGACATGTGCAACGGAGACCTCCAAATGCACCGGTGCGTAGTGGAATCCTAAGTCAGGATAGTAACGTGAAGAGAGGCAGAGGAAGACCGAAGTTGACTTGGGTAGAGACAATAAAAGGAGACTTGAAAGGATGGAATATACCCAAAGACTTAGCCTTAGATAGGAGTGCTTGGAAGACAGCTATTCACGTGCCTGAACCTTGATTGCTTCTGTTGGGTTTCAACTCTAGCCTACCCCAACTTGTTTGGGACTTAAAGGCTTTGTTGTTGTTGTTGTTGTTGTTGTTTTGGTATTGATCAAAAACTTCAAAGAGAATTGAAATTTGAATTTAAAATGCTTTTGGAAAATTTGTTTGGAAAAAGAAAAAAAAGAAAATTCATTTTCTCCCCTCCTTTCTCCATTTCGGCCCGCTGGCCACTCTTTCCCCGTCGGCCTGGCCTGGCCTGCTGGCCCAAGTTTTTCCCCCGCGGCCCGCTTGGTTTCCCGCTTTTCTCTTGGGCCGGCCCAACTCAGCTGGGCAACTGCCGCTGCCGTGCTCCTCTCTTGCTCAGTCGCTGACCGCCCGGTCCCACGCGCCAACGCCGTCCCCCACCTCCCGCTCGCCCCGCGCCCGGTCCGAGTCAAGGCAGCAACCGCCGCCGCTCCACTTGCAGACGTGGGAGCGTCCTCCCCACGCCCGGCCTCTACAAAAACAGCGCCGAGCCCTTCCCCCGCTCCCTCTGCTGTCTCCTTTCTCCCTCTCGCATCGCTCGTGGCCGTGGTAACCGCCGCGCCGAAGGTCGCCGGGACCGCCGTCCGCCCCTCCGCGTGGACCGCCATTCCGGAGCCGTGTTCGCCTCCGATTTTCGCCGTGGTGAGATTCTCCGTGCCCTCCTCTCCTTCCCCGACCGCTTCCTTTGGCAATTGGTGCCTTGCATGGCCGTTTCGGGTGCGCCAGCGAGCTCCTCCTCGCTGCCGGTCATGGCGGGCACCGTGCGAGCCATTCCCCGGCCGTGTTTTGTCCTGGGGTGGACTCGCCATCCTCCCCGCATCATCCTCGTGGCCTCGGTTGGGCACACCGTGTCCCGTAAGGCCTTAACCGACCACGCCGGCAAGCTCCTCGCCGCCGGCAATGGAGAGCCGCCGCGGCTGCCCCTGTTCCCCGCCGGCGCCCTTTTCTCTCTCCCTCCCATCTGTTCTAGGCCGTCCATTCCTTGATCGACGGCCCACGTCGGCCGATACCCTTTCGAGGGTCAATTTGCTTAAGAGACCCTGTAGTTTTCTAAGTCCTAACCCGCAGTCCAAAGCGTATTTCCCCGATTACGCATTTTCGTTTGGAAAACGTAAACTTCACGGCTTAAGTCAAAAATACGTTTTCAGTATTTACAGAAATGCCATTTGAACTGTTTCGCTTATAAAATTGTCGTTTTAGCTCCGAATTGATCCATTCAAATCGCGTTAGCTTCGTAATATCATAAGCTACATGTTGGAACTACTGTTAGTCAAGTTTGGAACTTTTTAATTTCATGATTAGATTTAATTAAATATATGGCTATAGGAAAACCCGTTTAAATCATAACTTTCGCATTTTAGCTCCGTTTTTCATGAACTTCGCGTTGACGTGATCATAGCGAGACGTAGATTATGTTTACAAACATTTTATCTTGTTTTCCATACTGTTGGTGTACTGTTCTAATGATAGGAATGTTTGCTTTGCATGAATGCTTTTGGAATGTTGTATGTTGCTGTGTTGGTCACGTTCAGACGGTGAGGAAAACGTTGGAGACCAAGAACTCTTCGACGACCAGCAGGACCAGCACGAGTTTGTGAACCAAGGCAAGTATAGCATGGGCCTTCCTTGATATCCTATTTCACTTTAATCAATTACTCATTTGCATGTGTCTAATTTTGATACCCGTAAGGACATCCTAATGATTGTTTATCTTGTTCCTTGTCTCCTATGGGTTAAATGCATGTGGGTAGATTGCTAGTGCTCTAACTGAACTCGATATACATGATGATGAATGATACTATGGAACTAAGAGTTTAACATGATTCATAACAACTGTTCCATAGGGCGAAGGTGCAAATGACTTTTGATCATGTTGCTCTCTGCTCTCCATAAGGACTTATCTGTCGGCAAAAGCTGGGACTGACAGTGCAACCAGGAGAGTCATATGGCTCTGACTTTAGCTCAGTAATAGGACCCTTTTCTAGCTTGTTAGAGGTTACCTTTATGGCGCAAATGGGGCTTGCCACGTTGGATATAGGACTGCCTCTGTTCCTATGTGTATAGCCGCGATGGATATGTGCCATAGGAAAGGGGGGTTCCTACATCTGCCTGCCGAGGAAACCTAGCGGCCCTAACTTGTTAGAGAAACCTATGAAATGGCTTCATAGTGTACCCTGCCCGCTCACCTTGGTAGTGACATGGGAGTAATTAACCCAGGCATATGGGGATCACGACTCGCGGTGAATGTGCACCACCTCTACAGAGGGTAACAAACTGTTATAACAGCCGTGCTCATGGTCACGAGCGGCCTGGAAAACTCACAGAATAATTGGATACTGGTTGATGAACATTTATGATGGTATATGATGGATATGATACACTTGATTTTGATATCTGAATTTGTGGGTTTAAATGGGAGCCTAAGCATAACTTGATAATAACTGAGGATAAAATCTTGACTTATTAAAAGTGCTATCTGTAGTAAACCAGTGTCATCCTTTTTGAGCCTCATGAACCCCATGTTATCTTGTTGAGTACGGGATGTACTTACGCTTGTTTACTTTCTTTATTGGATAAAAATCCCGGATGGGTAACAGATGACAACGTGTATGAGGAATTTCCTGAAGATTATTAGGCTTGTGGTCAACCAGTTGACCTTCCCTGTGATGGTGTTCCACGAGAGAGAGTTATCTTTTATTTTCCGCTGTAATGTATAAGACTAAGTTATGTAATATCGTGATGTAAGATACACTGTGATGATACTCCTTTATAATTTGTCAGCTTATGTGTGTGATTGATCCATGGGCACACATGAGTTGGTGCATCCAATTTTATCCTTAAAATTGGGTGTGACACCTACGGCACCTACCTCGCCGTCATGACCGTCATCTTCTTCTGGGCCATGCGCAGCACCGACTTCTTCATGGTAAAAAGCTAGGCACTAGCCAATAGCTTTGTTTGCATTGCTCCGGCCGGCGGCCGATTTCTGGGCCATCAAATTCTCTTATCTTCCAGTAAGATAAGAACCTACCTTTGTTTGCATTGCTCCGGCCGATCGACAGAACACGTTCGGCATGAGGTCGCTGCACGGCAGCCGGGAGGAGATGATGTTGGCGCTGTACCTGCGGGTAAGCATCATCAGCCAGGCGCTCATCTTCGTCACGCGCTCCCGCAGGTTCTGATGCGTGTAGAGCAAGAGCAGAAAGTTTGGGCCTCTATAATCCATGCCGTTGTGTTTGTCTGCTATGTCTTGAATCTTTTACTACTTCCTGTAGTTCATAGGTCTCAATTGATTTGCTCTGAAATATTACTATACGAATTTAGTGATCTTGTTTATCTTTAATGCTAATTGAAAAATACATGTTCTGGTCCAATTTGAATTGTAAATTTAATTTTTTTTGGCGGAAAATTGATTTGTAGGGGCGGTTGGTACTGTAGCCGCCCCTACAAATCGATTTGTAGGGGCAGCTACAGTACCAACCGCCCCTATAAATCGATTTGTAGGGGCGGCTACAGTACCAACCACCCCTACAAATCGATTTGTAGGGGCGGGTTGGGAACCGCCTCTACAAATGCATGATTTGTAGAGACCCTTGCGTAGGGGCGGCTGGCCGAACCGCCCCAACAAATGCACTGTAGCCGCCCCTGAAAATGATATTTGACGTAGTGCCCCCTCCACCATAGACCTGCACAGTGCGGCGCACAGGGCCTCGAAAGCCTCGCCGGATATGATGCCTTGCAAGAGTTCGGGGTAAGGACGTTGCAGCTGTCCTCCCCGTCCCCCGGACACTTGACGTCGGAGATGCGGCCGCCTTGGGTCTTTGCGCTGATGTAGCCGGAGAGGCAGGCTGTGCAGAAGGCGTGTGCGCAGCAGCGACTTGCGTGGTGCACGTGCGACGGTGGCACGTAGTCCAGGCATATCTTGCAAGTTGCCACCGCAGTTGCGTCGTCTTCCCCGGTGGCAGGGGCTGCAACTGCAAGAGGTGGCGGAGGCGAGGAGGAGGAGGAGGAGCAGCTATACTCTGCTACGGCAAGCACGGGTGTCTCAGCAGCTGCTGTGTCATTGTTGGCAGTGTGCACGACAACGGCGCTATCAAGCTGCGGCATGAGCGATGATTGTGCTGCAGTCGCTGCCATGCCAGAATTAACAATCACCGCCATGGCGGAGGAAACAATCACCTCTTGGAGCTGGAGTTCCGCGGCGTACTCCTCGTCGGATATCGCTATGAGCCCGGTGGCGTCTGCTTGGTTTATTCCTTGGCAAACTGCAATCAAGTACAGGTCGTCGGCAACCATGAGGTCAGCGTCATCGCCAAAGGAAGAAGTGGCAGCCATCGATCAGCTTGTCAGCTTTGTGGGAGAAGAGGACGGCTACCTCTGGAACGAAGCTGTTTTCTGGTCTCCAGAATGGATGGACCCATCTATATGTAGAGCAACAAAAACGTACGGTAACATAGCTGCTGGACTTAGGAGCCTCTTTCATGCCAGGACTAATTGTTAGTCACCTAAAAATTAGTAGTAGGCCATCCAAACAGAGGAACTAATGAGTGAACTAATTTTTAGTCCACACACCGTACCTCAATTAACAACTAGTAGTCCATTAGTTGGCCATATCTAGCTAATAGGACTAAAAGGAGCCACTGGATTGAGAAATCACTACTAGAAAACAGACCTTTCACCCACTTCGATTTTAGCCTTTAGTCTCGATATTTTTTGCGTTCGGGACTAAAGGACTTTTAGTCCCGGTTCGTAATACCAACTGGGACTAAAAGTCATCTTTAGTCCCGGTTGGTGTCACCAACCCGGAGTAAAAGTTCACCAACTTTTAGTCCCAGTTGGTAACACCAACCGGGACTAAAGGGTGACCTTTTAGTCCCGGTTGTTGTCTTCAACCGGGACAAAAGGTCTTTTACCCGGGACTAAAGGTCTCCCATGAGTCTATTCAAAAGGAGAGCGCACATGACTCTATCACAAGTGGTGTGCAGTTGAGTTGGTAATGTACCTACACGCGAGGAGAGAGGTGTTGGGTTCGAATCTCACGTAGCGCAAGCGAGGCCTCGAGGATTTCCTTTATTTTTTTCTTCCGTGGGTGACCTTTAGTCCCGGCTCCCAGACCCGGAACTAAAGGTGTGGACCTTTAGTCCCGGGAATTTAGTCCCGGTTGGGAAAACCAGGACTAAAGGGCCTTCCCAACCGGGACTAAAACCCGTTTCTCTAGTCCCTCCCCCTACGCTATCTCCCCTTTTTCTCTCTCCTCTCCCAGGAGCATAAGAGTCTTTGTCTAGGAATACTACTAGCTACTAGTCAATGTATCCAAACAGTATAGGACTAAACTTTGGTCATCTAACAATTAGTTCTAATAAGTAGTGGATTAAGAACTAGTGCTAGGTGATCCAAACATGCTGTTAGAACTTTAGAGTGTATCATAACTTGATGACAACCTTATGTTTTTTTACCCCCTCCCACCCCCAGCCACACACACATTATCACATGCGCACACCACCACTAGATGCATATACACACTCACACCTATGAATATCTATGGTTATTGAGTTGCATCTATCGACGAGTTCAACTTAAAAGTTTAAGTTGATAGTGAACAACGGAAAATTCACTTATGCTTCAACATTCCTCTCACGTAGAGGCTTCCTTAGTCCTCGGACATTTGGAAAGGAACGAGAAACACTTATTTTATTCAATCGCACTAGCTAGGTCTCAGTTATTTGAAAAGTAATGAACTAGTTCTATCATATTCTCACTCCTTACGTTTTTGTTTGGTTTGTGGTATAGAATTAGTTGGTCCATCACCAACTCCCTCGTAAGCTAAAAATTAGTACAAACATGAGAAATGGAGTCTTTTCACCAAATTAGTATAAACTCATGATGCACCACCTCATCATAATGTGGCGGTTCCTCAAAACAAACATCTTATTACTTTTTACATATGCGTTTCTTCTCTGACAATCAACAAGTATTCGAAGGACCATATATCTCTCTTACAAACGTGTTTCTTCTCCGAGAATGAGCAAATATTTGAAGGACCGTGCATCTTTCTGAGAAGACACCAAAGATAATGCCTTTTGTCTTTCCCTTTGATGCTATATTCGAGACCAAGCAAAAGCTTGACTTTCTTCGCTCGCTCCACATTGCGTGAACCTGGCTGAAGCTTTATTCGGATTGATTTAATTTAATGAATCAATATATATATTTACCATGATGAATTTAAATATCTTTACCATGAAGATTGATTAGTAGTGACCGAAAGATAAAGACTATTGGTACTATCGGATATGCTTGGTGACCGAAAGCATAACATTCATGGCAAAGTTCCAAGGTGTACTGATGGTTTGCTTTGTGATATTATGGGATAAATCTTTATGCAGAATTTAGGCCCTCTTGCTCATCTTCTTACTGCATTTATAGAGTTACTCCATGTTTTTGTGTGACTTTGTGTCGGTGTTTTGTGGACCGACTAGTGAATTTATACGTGCGTCGCGTTGCTCTAGGAAAACGATGGTAGCACTCAAAGACACGAAGAGTTATACTGGTTCAGGCCGGAGCCCTACGTCCAGTCTCAGAGATGATTCGAGTTCGTGTTCCTCGGTTGAATGCTCTGAAGTTCTTACAATGGGGTGTGTAAGCTAAGGGAAAGAGGTAGGAGTGAGGTGAACGAGAGCCCGAATGGTGTTCTCAGGTTTTGTCCCATTGGAATGGTGGCCTGGCTCCCCTTATATAGAGTGTGGGGGCCAGGTTACATGTGGAGAGAGGGGTTCTCTCGACTGAGTGGTTGTGAGCCTAAGGGAGGGAGAAATAAGTAAACTTGGCCTACAAGCAACCCTGTCTTGTCCTGGCATCATGGCAGGTTCTGGTATGGTCGTCGTCATGATCTTGTACGCCATCCCATAGTGGGTGGAGCCATATGCCCGTCTTCTTGGGCTAGATTTAGACGGTGCGGTGTTGTACAAGTCGTCACCACCCCGCGGTGTTGTCTTGTCTGCGTAGAGCCGTGCAGGGATGGCGTCTGCCCCGAGATGACTGTCCCCTCAATCCTGGCGGAGTGAGGGAGCGTGCCTGTCCTTGTCAGGTCAGGTGTACTTGATGGCACCCGACCCCTTTTCATCCCTCCCAGGGGTCGAGACGGAGGAGAGGTCTGCGCTGCTGCATCACGTGCAGCGGAAGGAGAGGTGAGAGGTCGTGGTGGACTACTTGCTCTGGCGTGTGTCCTAGGGCCCGTGTGGCTTTGTTTGGCCGTGGCGGTTAGGTTCTTGTTGGCTGGGCTGCCCGAGTGGCTAACTTATCGGTGTCTTGAAATACCCGGGGTATCATGAACCCGACACTTGGTAGCGCTCGCACGACAACTCCAGCTCCAGCAGCAGTGAAGGAAGAGCAAAGCGAGTGAGCACGAGGAGGAGGCGCAGACCATGGAAAGGGGCACCACCATGGCCATGGAGGAGGAGCACCACAGATCTTGGTGAACGCGGCGACGACGGGATGGATCTGGGCGAGTGCAGGAAAGAAACGTGGTGGAGGGCTCAGCTTGAGGAAGAAGGGCGGCTCAGCTTGAGGAAGAGCGTGGCAGGAGGAGGGCTGGGGACAGCGGGGGAGGCGGCGAGAGGGGGGCAGGGGAGGCGGAGCGGAAGCGGAGCGTGGGGAGCGGGTTTTTTGTGTTCCCCACACGCAGTGCAAAACAAGAGGAGTTGTGGGAGCGATTACGAAGGGGGAAGTGGGGAGCGGAGACATTTGTCAACGCTCCTCGGCTTCTCACGTGGAGCGGTAGGAGCGCTACCAAACAGGTTCCTAGATAGCTATGTATAGGTTTATTTGAGTAAAGTTTTAGTTGGAGTTTGGGTGACTTGGTTAGATTATATATATATATATATATATATATATATATATATATATATATATATATATATATATATATATATATATATATATATATATATATATATATATATATATATATATATATATATATATATATATATATATATATATATATATATGCCTTAGCTTCAAATAACTTTTCTTTGGAATCTATATAGATATATATCTATTTTGTGTCGCGGAATAATTCGTGTCCTATACAATCCAATTGATAAATTTCTTTGATTTTTTTAATTTGAGTTGTTTTTTTTTTGCTGTTCTTCACTACTGGATTCAGGTTCGGCAAAGGCCAAATTGCACTCGGCAAAGCCTTTGCCGAGTGCGGCACTCGGCAAAAAATTGATCGGCAAAGCCCTCTTTGCCGAGTGTCTTTTATCGGGCACTCGGCAAAGGCTTTGCCGAGTGCCCCGGGGACACTCGGAAAAGAAAAGCGACCGTCACGGCAAAGATTTTTTTATTTTTTTTAAAAAAATTCTTTGCCGAGTGCCAACCCTGCAGGCACTCGGCAAAGATTTTTTATTTTTTTTAAAAAAAAATTCTTTGTCGAGTGCCAACTCTGCAGGCACTCCGCAAAGATTTTTTTATTTTTTTAAAAAAAATTCTTTGCCGAGTGCCAACCCTGCAGGCACTCGGCAAAGAGTTTTTATTTTTTTTACAAAATTTCTTTGCCGAGTGCCAACCCTGCAGGCACTCGGCAAAGATTTTTTTATTTTTTTTTAATTTCTTTGCCGAGTGCCCTGGACGGCACTCGGCAAAGTTTGAATTTTGTTTTTAAATTTCTTTGCCGAGTGCTCTATGCCCGGCACTCGGCAAAGTTTGAATTTTTTTTAAAAAAAATTCTTTGCCGAGTGCCGTGGTCACAGCACTCGGCAAATATTTTTTTATTTTTTTTAAATTTCTTTGCCGAGTGCCCCCTGTCCGGCACTCGGCAAAGTTTGAATTTTTTTTAAAAAAAAATCTTTGCCGAAGATTGCATGTGAGACAAGATTACACACGCACACCCACCAAAATGACAATTGGTTTGCAGGTTCGGTACTCCAGTCCCATTAATCCATAAGACACGCCGGACACATCGAGATAAAAAGTATTATAAATGTAAAACTGAACAATGAGAAAGTTCTTTTAACGCCTCCAACCACAAATAATTCAGGACACAGAACTAAGAGTTTCACTTATATACTCCTTCGGTTCCAAATTATAAGTCGTTCTGATTCTTCTAGATAATAACTCTTAGTATGTATCTAGACATAATATATATCTAGATGCGTAGCAAAAGTTATGTATCTAGAAAATCCAGAATGACTTACAATTTGGAATGGAGTGAGTCAGAAATAACTGTGAAACAAATTATACTATCGTAATTTAAACGTCAGTAACCTGTACAAAGTTACAAGCCTTCAACAGAAAAAGAAAAGCAGGTAACAAGAACCACAGAGATTTACTTGGACCATATGATAAATACATAACTAAAATTTAGGTAGACAGTTATGCATTATAAGTACCTTGGAGGCAAAGAACGGCAACTCTGTCACAGTTGATTGCACAAAAGAGCACTCTACAATGTCCGGAACTCCATTCAGACCCTTCAAGCATGCATCCGCAAAAACAGCACCAGCATATCTGCAAAACAAAAAGAGAAAATGAATAACACTATTAGAAAAATAAATTGCAGGGTTTGACCTAAAATCAGAATAAATCTAATGTGAAATTGCAGAGTTTGACCTAAAATCAGCATAAATGTAATGTGGTTATGTAAAAAAAAGGTTGGTGGAGTATTAGAGTTTGTCTACACAGACACTATGATATGATGGTTTTGTAAAAAAAAAAAACAGGAGAGTACATATAAGCAGGGCACTTATGGAAGCTAAGGTAAAGTTACAGAGAAATTCCAGACAAGGGGGGTGTTAGGATGAGGGTGATTGCTCTGTATAGTTAAAGAATATGGATCCAAATCCCACCTACCCAGACAGGGCCTCGCTCATATTGCATTAAATTAGTTGGAAAAGTAAGGTACATGATCTGGTACAGATGCTCATGGACAAGCCCTTCATTTGGCAAGAAGCTTCATTCCAAATAATAGCAATATCTTTGAGTGGAATTTGACATGAACGCAATAACACAAAGCTAACAAAGTAGAATGACCAAGTTTTCCTATAAGAACAATGTTTACAAAAACATTAAAGGTTTCTTATATTCATAGGTTTAATTCAATTATACTTGTATAATGAATATCATAACCTGCTAATGATGTTCATTACAGTTACATAGGTTGATAGCTATACATCTAACTCTGACAGGAAACTGATGCAATAGACATACAATCAAATGAAGTTAATACAGGAACAACCATGAAACAGTAGTTGTAAATTTAGTAAATTTTGATCGCAACTAGCTTGGAAGCTATAAGCTTAACATTACCAGACAATCTGTGCAGAAGCATGTAATGGGCAATCATGCAACAGCTAATTTATGCCACAGGCAGTTCTTCATAGAAAATACAATGAAAGCAAGAAGCGTCTATTGATTGACTGGTTGCAGAGCATAGAAGAAAATACTCATAATATTCCAAAACGATGATAAACAGACAGGATATGCTATAGTGCAACCAATAGACATGCTGACAATAGTCCATATGTTCTATAGACTTACGCCATGGACAATGTTGCAGATCCCTTTCCAGCCTTTGCTTCAACAACCTCCGTCCCGCCATCTTGTGTCCTCTTGGTGAGGGCCTCAATGTCTTCTTGGGACAATGAATTGCTTGCAGGAGTGGCCTGTATAAAACAGAATATTTGATTGAGTTTCTAGTTTCAGAGATATGGGGCACATCATAGAATACACCTACCATGACAATGGAAATGACTATCGCTAGCACAGGGTTGCTGATCATATTGACAAGAGCCTAAAACGCATATAATCAACATGATCAGTGTGATGGAACAAATTAAGCAAATCAAGATGAAAATGTTCACTGGACATATATAAGGAACAAGCATGCATATATCACTCAATATCATCTAACATCTCATATGCAAAGCATGGGAATGTTCACAGATCTATATGACTATATCCCAATGCATGTGAATTGGGCTCTAGAGCAAGTGGGTCATCTTTACTTCAGGTGGCAATTTCAAAGCATTGAGGCTAGCAAGTAGCACGTGGTGGTAATTCTGTATGTTTTGGGCAAACAAGTCCACTCCATTTCCTGTCAGGTAGGTGTGCCACTTTACTTCACCAGATCAGCACTCACTACGTCAAAAAGCATTTCTAGGGGCGGTTGTAGACCATTTGTAGGGGCGGTTTGCCCAGCCGCCCCTACGTAAGGGTCTCTACAAATCATGCATTTGTATGGGCGGTTCCCAGGCCGTCCCTACAAATCGATTTGTAGGGGCGGCTAGTTTTTCCAGCCGTCCCTACAAATCGATTTGTAGGGGCGGCTCTTATTACCAGCCGCCCCTACAAATAGATTTGTAGGGGCGGCTGTAGTACCAGCCGCCCCTACAAACAGGTATTTGTAGGGGCGGTTCAATCTATAACCGCCCCTACAGTACGTTTTCCCGCAAAAAAAATTAAATTTTCAATTCAAAATCACTTTGCCGAACGTCCTACAACCAACATTCCGAACCGCGTTCGCGTTGCCAAACGCCCCGCGACCAACGTTCCGAACCGCGTTCGCGTTGCCGAACGCCCCGTGACCAACGTTCGCGTTGCCGAACACCCCGCAACCGCGACTACAAGCACAATAGTATTATATAAACTACAATTATAAGTCCAATTTGTAAGGATATATATACAATCCATCATTAAATATACAAATTCCATACACATTGTTATCAACGTCCTAGAGCTAGCCTTTCAGTCTCACGAAGGTGTTGGTACTGAGGATTTGTACCTAAGTCAGACTCTCGGTCATGGTAGGCGCCTCTGACGTGTACAATCTGGTCCAATATGAAGTTGCAAAGGTCGCCGACAAGCTCTAAGAGTTGGTCATCCTTGTATGGGTCTCTTTTCATTCCTTTCTCTTCTCTCCACTACAAGAAAACAAGTTTCAGTTTAGTATTTCATACCATTTACGAAGTTTTTATACTATGGGTGAAGAGGTTCAAACTTACCCTTAAGGGGTGTCTCCTGTAGGCACCGGTGTTACTCATCATAGAACATATATAGTATCCACAATGTACACTCCCAGGCCTCTGCTTGGGGCACTGTGTGTTTTGCATATGAAAATATTAGGTAATGCTTTTGACAGTCATGTAACGGAGTACTGAAGAAGTAAGTTACACTTACCGCACATAGTGTTTTATAGCCAGCTTTTCCTTCCTCGCTGGATCATGCCTTCCGTGATGATGAGTGACATAGAACCTAAATGCCCTGTTCGAATTATTTTAGCAAATACAACTTGTTAGTATGCATAAGTGAACGTTACAAGTATGTATACAAACATATAAGCTAATGAGGATTGTCGATATGTATACGTCTTGAGAATCGATATGAAGTCTTTGTATGTCGCCGGGTCCTTATCTATTGAATCAAAGACCCATGCCATGCTCTTCCCGACATCGACGGCTATACAAATCCAGTGGTTGCTGCATGGATTTAATCATAGAACTAGATAAGTTCTTTTACATCGAATAAAATATATCGAACATAGCTTTAAGTATATAGTTGAACTTACTTGAAGTTGTATGGTAGCCATATAGTAGAGTGTTGTTGGAGATTTTTGAAAGCCAGAGCAATGTATGCCGCAACCTTAAGGGACTCTTCCCTTAGCTTCGCACTACGGATGCGCTCTTTCTCCCGAAGAGTCTTTGCAGCTGCTAGCTCTTTGGCATCCAGTGTCCACTGTTTAGGGTAATTAAAATTTGTTTGGGCTATAGCTTGAGGGTCTACATACCCGGCTTTCACACTTGGCATTTGTTTGACAATGTGCACTTGCATTCTACAAATCACGGCGTGGGTTAGTTACAACAAAATTCAAAGATTACATTCATATCATATCGGGAGGACAAGGACTTACAGGCACCACGTGCGAATTAGATTCATCTCCATTTCTCCCCTGTGTGAAAGCATGTGTGCATGTCATTGAAGTCAAAGACAATTTTCCTATTGGGGCTTCCAAATGTGCTTGGTGGGAAAGCATGCTTGTATGATATCTATGCTCGTTGGGAGAACACGCAAGTACCAATCATGGAACCTTCTCATTCCAAGTGGTAGGCGCTGGATGTCCCGGTTTGGTAGGAAGGGCTTGCCTCTTTCATATTTTTTCGGGCAATCCTTTGACCATTCGATGGCATCAACATTTGGATCTTGCTTTGCAATTTGGTGAAGTTTACTCTTGACGGCCTCCTCGGAACCCCATGATGGGACTTTTTAACTTGGTTTTCGTGCTTGAACCGATCATGGGAATACCACTTGGACACCGACGAGGCGTCTTTGATCGGAACATAAACCGGCCTTATGTGGATTGGAATCTTCTTCGGAGTTCCCATTCGAGCACGTCCTCATCTTCTTGTGCATCACCTTCTTGAGAGGCACTTTCGTTGTTCATGTATCGGTTGTGCTTGTTGAGAAGACTGTGGCATCTCATGATGCACTTGCCCAAAGATGAGCCGGAGAAGGTTGTGGCATCTCATCGGGCACATGCTCGATAGGAGGCGGGGAAGAATGTGGCATCTCAGAATGTGGGGTCATGAGACGGTAAAAATATCTCCCGGCCTCAACAACTCGCTCCAAATTTGGGAGAGGGGAGGTGGCGAAGAAGCGATCAATATAATGTCCCGTTTGTGCGGAGGATGAACTGCCCCATAACGCCTCCGAGTAACACCAAATTTCGGGAGTTGCGTGTAGTCTATCCTCCACTTGCATGAACTCGGGCTTCACTTGTATGCACCTCGACCCTAGTGTAGTCCGGCGGTATGTTATTATTGTGGTGTAAGCCACCGGAGGATGTGAAACACCTGTTGCCACCTCCATCATAGTGTTCATCACCACCGAAAACACCAAGGTGCAACTAGTAGGTTCCCGTATGAGATCGACCGAGGTTGTGGCTACAAGGAACCTTGGTTGTTAGGAACTTTCGGAGGGCTGCCAACTAATGCCGCCTTCTCCCGGTTAAATCACTAATATACGTGGCTCAGTAGACATTCCTTGCTCCTCCAGTACCTTCGCAACTAGAGCCTTCACTTGGAGCTCAAGACTAGTCTCCCGGTCTCGGCCATGTTTCTTGTACATGTGCTGTCCTCTTTGAATCCTTGCTTCCGTGTCATCCTTTTCCCTAGCCCCCAGTGCGGCCTATGTGCTCCTTGTTTCCCAAGCCAAGGCTAAGCTCGTCCCTCTCTCTGGAAGGATTGAATGAGCCCGTCTCTTTGTCTTCACATATTTCAAAGATCCTTGATATCGCCTCTTGGGTCTCCGGCTTATCAAACTTAAGATTACTTTGCTTGGATGGTTCTATACTCCTCGCATATATCCGGTTCCTTGAGCGTACCTTCAACTTCGTCACACATCGATATTCCCAGCACAATGCAAGCCTCTTCATCCATCTTCCTAAACCGCTCTTCCTTGGCATAGTAGCCACCGGGGCCTAGATGATGGTGGTGTTTGTTCCTCTTCGCTAGCTCGGTGTTACGAGCAGCACGAGCTCCAATGCCTCTCTTTGAAGTCTTCTGAGCCACGAGCTCCTCCCATTGACTAGGAGTTATTTTGCCGAACTCGTTGAAGGGAGTTAACCCCTTTTGGATATACTTCGTGTTAAGCTCTGACCTCCAACGTCGCAATGACTCTCCCATCATCCTAATAGCATTTTTTTACCAATTCGTGCTTACCCTCCAGAAATCTAAAATTGACCTTCAGCTGCCTATCCCATAGTGCATTCTTTATGTTCTCTGGTACCTCTTTCCAGTTAGGGATTGCTGGGTTCAATTTATCTCTTACTAGGGCCCCGGTCGCATTACGGAATCGTCCTCTTAATTCCTTCGGCTCAAGGATCTCCCCTGCTAGCCCAACCTCCGTTATCACATAGCAAGCCTTATCTGGATATAGATTTCCTTTTCTATCCCCTCGTTTCCTCTTAGGCTTGGTAGTTGTGGTTGTGTCTTGAGTTTGTGGAGTAGAGGCATCGTGATCCGTCTTTGTGGTTGTTGCCTCTGCTCTCCTTTCCTCTACTCCGTCTTGTCTAGCGAGATGTCGCTGACGTCGACGTCGTCTTTTCTGAGTTTCAGGAGGGACACAGATATAGGACACAGTCAAAGTGTTAGCAGAGGTAACACACCCAAAGCTTTAGCAAAATTTACAAGCTAAGGCTTCTTCCCTACCTCCTCGTTCGGGTCAAAATCCTTGTCCAAATCTTCCTCCGTTGGCCTCCTTCTTGCTTGGTGGGAAAGGATCCTCGGGACTTTCATATCCCTCTTGACTCATCATCCTCTTCTTCTTCGCCTTGAAAGACCTCTCCTTCGGGCCTTCCTCCTTGTCACACTCCTCCTGAGTAAGCATCACTTCTAGATCTTTTTCTACCTCATTATCGAACTGTTCCTGAGTAAGCTGGTCCTCTAGTGCTTGCTCCTCAAGGGTTGGCTGATCATCATGCTCAGGGCATCGAGCTGCACGGTCTGTTGTCCACGATATTATTTCACGCTTTGTTCTAAAAGATGCAAGAAAGTGTGCTTTAGGTACGCGAGAAGGTATAAGAAATCAAAAAGGTCTATAAACCAAAGTAGTCCTATAAAACAACAATATAAAAAAACGAGAAGTAGCAGTGGTAGAGGCCTCAGAAACATGTCAATCATCATCTGATCTTGAACTTGGAGCATCAAGGCATCATAACAGAGAAGAGAGGAGAAGGTAATGTAGGGGCGACTGCTAATGATGCCAAGTTCCTCACAAGTTCTTGATCATCAACTCATA